GAGAGAGAGGAACGGTTTTAATTTGGAGTTGCTGGACGAGGTTAGAGTCGATTAGGTTACGCTCACAGCCTGAGTCGATGAAGGCGGAGAAAGAGAGACTTTGGTTATCACAGAAGAGGGTGGCAGGCAGCAACAAACGAGGAGATTTTATTGTATTTGTTTGGCCCGCCAGACTCCTCAGATCCTCTGGCGGGCCCCGGCTTTTGATTTTGCCGGGCAGGAGGCGATGAAGTGTCCACTCTCGCCACAATAGATACATAACTTACTTAGGAAACGCCTCTGTCTCTCCTCTGGAGTGAGCCTAGTATGTCCCACCTGCATTGGTTCATAATCCCTCTTCCCCGAATGAGAGGCTTGAACAGGCAATGGTAGAGGCTGGGGCTTAGACCACTGAGTGGGCATCTGCTCTGTAGAGGGAGAACACACAGTAACGTTAAGAGAGGCAGGAGAGAAGTTACTCTGCTTCTTAGAACTGTTTCTGGCTCGAATCCTATTATCTAGTCTGATGGAGAGGCGAATTAAATCCTCGAGGGAAGCAGGCTCGTCGAGGGTTGCTAGTTCATCTTTAATATGTTCGTTTAGCGCCATGAAGAAGGCTCCCTTCAAGGCGCTTTGGTTCCATCCGGAAGCTGCCGCCTTAACCCGGAAGTTTATTGAAAAATCTGCCACCGATGAATTTCCTTGTTTAAGGCTGAAAAGAGCTCTGGAATCAATTGTTTGGTCAGTTTCCTGGTTGAAAACCTGGGAAAATTCAGCAATGAAGTCAGAAAAACGGCAATTTAAACTGTCGTCAGTGGCAAATCTTGCCTGAGCCCAGTCCAGGGCTCTTCCTGTTAACTGAGAAAGAATGAATGTTATCTTCTTGTGATCTGAGGAAAAACTGCCAGGAGAGTTCTGAAAAATCAACCGACACTGGAATAAAAATCCCTTGCAATCTTTCATGTTACCGGAGAATTTCTCTGGAAGACTAGGGCGGAACTCTGATGACGTCATAGGTTGTGACCTCGGAGGAGGGATTGGACCCGGAAATGGTTGTTGAATAGGTGCAGCATTAGCGCAATTCAGGAAGTTAGCACAATTCTGAAGCATTTGGTTATGTGTTCCAACTAGATGATATAACTCACGAAGCGTTTGGGATTGTCCTTGTAGAAGAGCATCCTGTTCTTCCAAACGACGATTGAGGTGATCTGCTGGGCCTTGAGTTTGGCCGCAGTGTTCAGTCATGATGGGTTCTCAGAAAGAGACCCAAAAATGCAGAACACCACTTAACGGACACAGGGATGAAAAGTTTAACAGTTTATTGAAGCTCAACACACAGAATGTACGGATGACTGGTTCGGGCCTGGGTTCTGGTTTCACCGGAGTCTGCGTGAGAGACAGAGCGGTTAATAACTGCTGATAGGATTAGGTTTCCAAGTGAACTCAGATTTGTACCTTGTGGGTTCTTGAGGTTCTCTTGGGAGAGTCACTGTTGGTTCTGGGGAGAAGTCTGTTAGCAGAATCCGCTAGCTGCTTCAGCGTCTCACGTCTAGCTTGATCAGACCTTGGGTTTGGTTCTTCAGCTCTAGTCCAGAGCTGCTTGGAGATTCTCAGTGGATCTTCAGGGTTTGGCTCAGAGGGTCGGCTCGGCAGGTTTACTCTTCCAGAGCTTTCACTGAGGAGGTACAGGTTTCCAACTGGAACAACACTGCGGCGTTGAGGCAAGGTCTGAAGACAGCTTATGTAGGATCCTCTGATGATGTTGACGAGCTGCAGCTGCGCAGGAGGCTCCCTCAGAGGATCCACAGCGGACTCTGCTGGAGAAGGATGGAATCCTCCCCAGCTCCCAACAATTGGTCTTCATGATGCTGGTTGTTCACTAATGTTCTTCAACAAACTCTACTAGGTTTCATTTTATCATAAGAAGCATCAAGATGAAGGGTCATTGCATTTTAGCACTATGAATGAATGAAAAAAGTCTGCTATTTGTGTAGAAGAGGATGTTATTTTTAGAAAACAGCATAAATCCACTCATGCTGAAGTTTTCAAGGGTATCTGAATGGATGCTGTGTGAACATAAGCAATTAAAAACAAACACATTGCTTCCTCCTGACCTTAAATCTAATGTTAGTCAGGAAAAAAGGTGTAAGGGTGAATATTAGGTGAAATATTTCTTGAGTTTGATCTGTGGTGTCCTGAACTGATGCATTTTAGCTCTTGGCCAAACAGCGAGTAGTGAGGGACCCTGTCGGTATTTAGTTGTTTCCCCATCCATCGCAGCCTTCTCCTCATCTCAGAAGTGAGTGATGCGGTATTGAAACCATATGCCAGCCAAAATTCCTCCTGGATACTCCCATCCCGTCCGATCCCTGCAGTCCTCCACTTGGCCATGGAGACATGGCTGTCACGAGGAGGGGGCTCCAAACCAAGCTTCCTGTGTAAGATCTAAATATTTACACTCCCAGTAGTGCCGAGTGGCGAGGCAGAGAGATCTTGATGTTTTGGGTTATGTAAAGTGCATATTTAACTGATTGTCGTCATTGGAGAATTTCTTTGAACAGATTTGCTCACGTATTCCTTATCGTCTTGATACAAACAGGGAAACAAAAGTAGACTAAAGGTTTTTTATTTACTTATGAAGTTATACTGACTCGGAGGCAAAAATGACAAAGTATGTGAAGTTGCATAACAACCCATTAGTTCAAAGTTGTTCCACTTATGCTCGGTAAGAAACCAGCAAATTCAACCTTCCACTTTGTTGTTTTTTACATTAGTTATGCCTTCGCAGACAGCCACTGAAGATGGTCTGAACAAACAGAAAACACAGCCAACAAACTATTTGCAGAGAGCAGCAGTGAAGCAGCACAAAGCCAACCTGTCCTACAAATACATCTGTTTACCGTGCAGATGCTAGAGTCATTAAACAGAGCAGGCGAAGCGAAGCAGAGGTAAATTGCCTACCAGGTAGCCAGCCAGGAGCTTCTATTTGCGGCGCTGATTCAGAGCCCAGTTTTTGGTACCAGGCGGCAAAAACGGACCAAGCTCTGCATAAGATTTCAACCGATTTGAGGTATGGATGTTAAACCTGTTACAATTCAGTTGTTTGCTTTAATCTGCAGCTTTGTGGCTGACATTAAAACATTGCAGGTCCTACAAGATGCACAAGTGTAATTTGCCCTTCCCTCGCTGTCAGGTCGATCAGGTGCATGTAATCTGGGATGTTGTTAAACTAAAAAAAAAAAAGTTGTCCCCAGGTACCCCTATGATCTGAATGATGAGTCATAACTCAATGTTAGATATTTAAACCCTGTATGGGGATTCTCTAAATAAGCTAAAGCTAGATGTGTCTGATTGATTGTAGGTTTCAGAGTTTTTTTCAGATGAATTTCATCATCCAAATTTAATATGGTTGCAAACTACTGAAAGGATTTCACTCGGGTTACCTTTAATAAAGGCTATTTTCCCAAATAAAGGCCAGATTTGTGAATTCCATGACTGAAATATGTCTTTCTATCAACTAATTCTCCTACCTGCTTTGTGGATTTCTGCTTCTCTAATTAGTAGGTGTTGTAGTAGGTGTTGCAACATGCCATTCAGTTTCCAAGTTTGAATGATTATTTAAACGTTTTTTAGTCAATGCATTTCTAAAGCTCTGGTAATTGCTCAATAACCTAACCCATCTTTAACCTTCTATGCCACTTTATCCCTGACCTGCCTGCTGTCAATTCTTCTAAGGCTTCCTTAACAGATTCCCTGACAGGGACAATAAAGTGTTTTCTGATCTATTCTAGCTGCATTAAGCATTTTTCAAGCTTATTTAAGAAACAAAAATCAACCTATTGGATCAAATAAGGACAGAATAGCTGGTTTCCAGTGGTAACACATTACTCACTAATTTTCCAATCAAAGGATTGCTTAGGTGAGTTGAGCGGGATTTTCTGCCATTAAGTCACAGTCCCTTCTGTTATTGCTGCCTGCAGGCGCCTCTCAGCTCCAACATTTTATTCAGCCTGGGCTTCTGAGTCCCCCGATGGTTCATCAGTCAAATTAGGCAGGGATCAAACCAATATTAAAAGCAGAGCCATTGAGCACCAGCTTTAGTCACACAATAAAGCCTCACAGCAGCAGCTTAGCTTTAGGCACCATACATTTGGATTACAATTACTCAGCAGGTGAAAGGTGGCTGTGCTATGGGCGGATTTCATTTGAAACGCTCGAAAAAGCTAACAAGATGAGGATTATCCTTTTGTCATTACATCATCTAGTTAGAGGAGCGAACTGGAGTTTAAGGATGAAGTCACCTGTCATAACAAACCCTCTGAATATTTAGCAGCCCTGTTCAGCATGATTATCCAATTTAAGGCGCCTTGAAGGAGAATCTGTGCAAATATAATTTTTTTTTTACAGGGAATTTTAAAGTCTGATCAGTGTACCTCCTTTATTATGTTTTCAGGTACAATTCATTTGGTTGCACCTTCATTAATTGTTCCTTCTCGGTACAATTAATGTCACTTTTGTGATCTCCTTAAAACAAAACACCATATGAATACATAAATGTGTAAAAGTTATTTTGCAAGGATCTAGACAGTATGAAAGCTAAATTTTACTGCATCCCTTTCATATTGTCAAGCACAAACATAACTCACTATAAATAAACATGCAACTTTTCGGAGCTTAAATGTGTGTCCAGACCCTCCCAGCACCAGAAATCACCTACATAAATCACAAAAGGAGGTATAAGATTCATCCTCCTTCAATCCTTAAGGGGAAGCTGTAGAGAAAATAAATCAAGGCCTGAGCTGCAGCTTCAGTCTAATAGAGGCTGATTACATAGAGACCCTGCAGGGGTTGAATTCAATTTATCAAGTACTTCAAAAGGAAATATTTTAACCAGATCAACCATATGCTGCAGGTTGGACATAATTCATGCATCCACAGAGGTTATTCTCAGGTCAGGTTTGTGTCTTTCTGCATTCACCGTCGCCATGTGTGATGAGATCTGTGAAGGGTTTATTACTGACCTGTTAGGCCCGGCCCTCTGGATCCATCCTGCGGCTGTGTGGATCGGTTGCGGTTCTGGTGCCGCCGTTTGCCCCCAGTAGAACGGGTTGAGCGGATGTGCACCTCGCTGACCTTGAAGAAGGCCACCATGAATGGTTGCTTCTCCAGTGCACCGTCCCGCCCTACGAGCCCCGCGTCTGTACAGCTGATGGTCTGCCCTGCTCGGAAAAGGAAGCAATAGTCAGATACATTTTACAGGCCTGTTTTGTTCATTGGAGCAGACTGACCCTTATATAGAGATAGAGCGATACATCCATCAGGTCATTTTTGTTATTTAGTGAGACTTGTGAATCATTAATTTTTACAGTATCATTTCTATCATGTAAATGGAGGAAGATAAACCATAATTGCCTTCAAGTTTGCCTTCAGCAGATCGGTTAGACTAATGTCAAAATAATTGGTAGCTGTATCAGTAGATCTCTTCTATTATGTTCTGTTTTTAATTGACATAATTAAAACCAATGGTGGGTAAAACATTTGAATCTTCACTGATCTTAAATCACTCTGGATGAAACCACAGGTTATAAAGCTCTTAAACTGTGGGTTTCTTACCGCTGCTGGTCTCTACGCTGACCTGCAGGCCCAGGTTATGCATCGGACTCATCACCCAGAGGTTGCTGGTCGCTGTGATGTCAAACTCCAACCATCCCTCCTCAGCAGCCCAAAGCCTGCGAGACTCAAGAAGGAACAGGTCTGCCTCCCTAAGGGTAAAAATAAAACAAAGAAACAAGGAAAGGTGAACCACTGTTTCAGTCTCAGCTTCTAACAGGTTTTCTGCATCCTTCACTTTTCCACTACATCAAGCCTGCTTTTTGTTCCTCCTTAAGAGAATTCTCTCCAGTACCTGAGGCTGCTGCCACCGCCATACTAATAACTGTTTTTTTCATCTAGTTATGTGTTTGAAATAATAATGCTGCCCCATGTGGGAGGGTTGCTGGGATTGGATCTTGGTCCAACTTGTCTCTACATGGAGTTTGTAGTCTGTGTGTTCATGTGAGGTTTCTCTCTGAGTACTCTGGCTTCCTCTGACATTCCAGTGCAATAAAAAAAAAATTGTACCCACGTCTCTGCTGTCTATAATCTGCTTTGTGTTCAGCAGGTGATCTCACTCTAACATCCAATTAAAAAAAAAATAATAATTCTGATGCTGTAAACTCATATTATTCATGGCAGCCTAGTGGTTGAGGCATAGAGCTTGGAAATCTGAGGTTCTAAATTCGATCCCCACTCCCACAGACTGCCACTCTGGGTCCCTCTGCAATACCCTTAACCCCACACTGCTTCCCGCGATGGCAGCCCACTGCTCCCCAAGGGGATGGGTTAAATGCAGAGGGAAAATTATCCAATGTGAGATTACTAAAGTTAAATTATTATTATAATCATTCCAATCAGATTAAATTGTTTCCCATAGATCTTTGAACAACCGGCCAAAGCAATCAGCAGAGTTGTTTATTAACTAGGTGCATTTACTTTGTAACAGTAACTAAGTAATGTTTTCAAGGATCTGCACTCTATTATAGTGGTTTTTACTTTGATTTTGTTAGATTAGAGAAATAAAATGTCACTTTTACTTCTTTACTTGAAATTATGAGAAACTGTTACTGTTACATTAATTTATCATTAATGTATTTATTTTATGTGGAATCAGCATGTGAACGGGAGAAGAAAACTGCTCTCTTGCTCCTGGTCCAAACTCTCACTGCTCGGTGGTTTTAACACACAACATTGGTTGTTTGACAAGTTTTTTAGTTATTTAAGTATTACTCTTTAAATACAGAAATGTTTATTTCTTGTATTTCTCTAGAGGGGGGGAGTAAGTTATTTACACTGTTACATTTCACTCATATTGTCCCAAAAGATTAAACTAAATGTTGACACTTATGTTTTTCTTTTACTCTAAGACAGAGTGGACACATTTCACTGAATTGTTTTCTCAGTTTCCAACCACTAAACCTCCACTATTTGCCCAAGGGAAGAGACCAACCTATTCTTAAGTACTACAGTACTAAGTACTTTTACTTTCCCAATTACTGTGAGCAATTTTCAGACCTTTACTGAAATACTTATCAGTGACGTTTCCTTTACAAAGTAATATTCTGATAAGGTATTTCTACCTTTGCTTTGATATATTTTGAGTACTTTATACACCATTAGCTCTTATCATAATTCAGTATTTACCAAAAAAACCTTTTTTGGTATAGGTTGGATTCTCTTTTATTGCAGACCTGGCCTTAATGTCCATCTTTCTGAGGGTTTGAGAAACATACGTGATTAGGATGCATGAAGCTGCATGTATGGAAACATCCAAAAAAAATAAAAAACAATCCACTAGAATTGGTTTCCAAGTTTGAAGACGTTTTGCTTCCCATCCAGCAAGCTTTTTCAATTCAAAATGTCAGGTATAGTCTTGAATTCCAGGTTTTTGCAGGTTTTTACAGTAGCTGGTAGCTACACCAGCGTACGGGAACATCATTTACTATACCTGTGTGCGAAGGATCCACAAGGAATGTGCCGCACGCGGGAACACATTTTTTCCCGAAGTTTTTAATGAGAAGCAAGAACAGAGGAGATGTAAGGAAAAGGCAGAGTGCGGGTGATAAGAGGGCCCGTCCTCCCACTGTCCCATTAGAAGCAGTAATAACACAGCAGCCTCTCTGTGGGACCGTCCTCCCAGAGACGACATCAAAGCTCCACAATCATCCAGGTGTTCGCAGAATGCCCCTGCAGTCATGTCTCTGCAGCCCCTCTTTATTGGTCTTTAATGAGAGTGTTTCTGACAGCTTCCGTATAACCCCCCCCCCCCCCCCCCACACACACACACACACAAACACAGACACAGTTTTCCTGATAGGGCTTTCGCTCCAGATGGGCCAGGATGCTGACGCTGCCGTTTAGTCGTCGTCACACAAAGATCATGTGACAGAAAGGCTCATCATCTGAGATTCAGGGAAACTTTGACCACAAACCAAAAAACAAAATCAGTTTATGTTTTTTTTTTTTTTATAAGGTTAAAGGAGCTTCTTTTCAGATATCTTGTTAGTTGCTTTTTCTTCTCTTATTTATTCAAAGTATGCACTCTATGTAAGCAAAGTAAAAAAAAATATCTATGTCTTTGTAAAAAAGGTATAATTTTAAATCTGACAAAACTTAAATATAAGCCAAGTTTCTTGAAACAGTGGCTCATTTTACCGCAATCATCTCATTTTTAAAGTTGGATTAGATTATTTACAGAGCTAACCACAAGTTAAACGCACTATGATGGGTGAAAAAATGGTTGATTAGTGGGCAGTGGTTGAAAACAAGCTGCCTTTTCTCATGTCAGATCTGCCACATTTTTGGCATGGTAATCTCTTTTGAAGCCAATCGAATGAAAAGAACAAAGGGTGTGGAGCTATTTAAATGCTCTATCATTAAAGCTCAGAGCCAAAAAAGAAGTTAGGACCGCGGGAAAAGTTAATATGCTTCCTGCAGATTTGGTGATTGCAAAATTACAGTTAAACTAAAAGCATGAAATTAGGAGTAAATCAAGTAACGGCCTGAAGGAAAATGATTTTTTACTTGCATTTTTTCCCACATTTAAGCCCAATTAGGTAACCAACAAACGAACTTTAAGACGAGAGTGAGTGTAGAGTTGTTAAATGTAATTAGGTGCCTATTCAATCACTAAGCTGTGAGGCCTCCAAAAAATCTCCCACATATAAATGATTGAACCTTCAGGGTGGGGGGAGACACACTGAATAGAGGTGGCTCTTTACAATTTATGAACATTTTCACACAGAAAAATATAATTGGTGTTTCTTTTTTCTTTTATTCTTTGTTTTGTTTAACATGGAAGAGTTTTTAAAATATATTTTGGGCTAAAGAAACCGCTCTAAAGATAAATGACAGCATAATTTCAAATATATCATAAATTCTCTTGATGTTGTTTGCCAGTGAGTTGACTTCCTGAAACACCAATCCTTTTTAGAAACCCTGTTTATCTGCCCCGCAGAGGTAAGGTAAATGTTTGACATGTATCAGCTGTGGTTATTTAGAAGATGGGCTGTTCTGAAGGCCAAGCTATTTCTGTTAAAAGGGGCTTTGCATTATAAACATGAGATGGAGCGCTGCTCTGCACACAGGAAACTTTAAAGCAGCAGAGCTTCCTTCAGAAAAAATTTTGTTGTAGTCACAGTTTCATGCTGATATCCTTTCAGTTTTGGAAAAAAAAACAGGCAGCACCTCTGCAAAAGTTTGTGCTGTATGTGTATTTCCATAATTCATATAATTAAGCATCAATGTAATTGTACTCCACTGAATCTTTTATGATTAATTAACAAAAATTAACTAGCAAAAATATACTGAAAAGGTTACATTGGTGCTAATAAAATTCAAATATGATCAAATTTATTTTGATGCTCTTAAACAAAATCATGAGTAAAACCTCTAAGACACCAATAGGAACAACAAGAGAGTTGATCGGAGAAGCAGCAGCGGTCTTTATGGAAGAATAGCTATATGAATGTGATATAAGAAGAAAAAGAACAGAGGTTATAGATAAAGGAATGCTGTTGCTCCAACAAAACCTACAAGCCATGAGAAAGCAGACATGTAAAGATAGAGACAAAAGAGACACATTTTGGGCAGATTCTATGCAGTGGCAGCATCATGCTGTGGGATTTCTTTTCTATAGCAGAGAAAGTTGGAAGGCTCAGATTTGACATAAATTTGAATGGATCAATAAATAGGAAGAATAGAAAATAAAGCTTGGTAGAGGCTGTAAAGTATTTAAGCCTGGGTTGGAGAATCAACTACATACATCAGAGCAACAATAGACTTGTTTGGATTAAAGCAAACATCTTTTTAGAAAATCATGTGTTTCTAACAATAATATAAAGTTTTAGAGGTGTGATGGCTCATGCAAGGCACTGAATGTTAAAAATTTTGCACACACATTCTGTTGTTTCACATAGAGCAGAAGTGATTTCAACCATTTATTATTGAAGCTCTCTGCATTGTTGCTTATTCTAACAGTAGCCTGTGGATAAGAAAAAAAAAACTTTGAATTGTATCAACGAGTTATAAAGGAGCCAAAGAAATTGAAGGTTTCTTTGTGTGTATGAGCTACCTGTCAGGGTGCTCCTTGACCACTTGGTAGACTTTGAGCAGGAAGGTCTCGTTGCGAAACACCTGGCTCACGCACTCCTTGTAAAGTCGAAACTCTGCTGCAGTGATGGCCTCGCCCTCTGGGATCTGTGACAGGTTGAACTTAAACTCCTTGTGGTGACGCCGGTCCAGGGAGAGCTCCCTGTCGTGCTCCACTGTGGGAACGGAAACACAGAAATAAACAAAACCTGTAGTTTACAACTCCTGCTCATCATCAACATTTCTTTTAGTAGCTTTACTCACAGTCCAGACAAGAGTCTACAAATAAAACCAAAGTATATATTGCAACATATTTACAAACAGGGATTTCCATTTAAACATGCAGTAGAGAATGATGAGGGGATATGATTTTCGCAGACGCTGCTCTGAGGTCGACCGCGGAAGTCTTTCATGCATGTAAAACATGTGATTTACACATGAACTCTAATAGGTTTTGAGGCTTTCTCTGCCCCAAAATAAATCCTGGCTATCATCAGTTTGAGCAAGTGCCTGCAACCTTTCTCAGCGCCAGCAAACCTAGAGACATCCTGCAACCACTTCTGACAATGTGAGAGGGAAAAAAAACACACCCTCCTGTGTCTCTAAGAGCAATATAGTCCATAATGACAACGTGTTCTGAAATGCAGTTGGTTGTTTTCATATTTGAAAGCCTTAATCCCTCAGCAGAGACGGTAAAGTTTACACAGTGGAAAGGAAATCTGAGTAAAAACAGGCATGTTGTGTACCTTTCTTGTTTACAGGAAGACTTGAAAAGGTCAACCCTACATCAAGTTAAACCCACATTAGAATGCTTTGACTGAGGAGGTTCTCATACGCTGCATCCCGCCGGAGACACAAACACGCTATCATCATCTCTAATCCAGCTTCCAATCAGTGCAGAGACATTCAGTAATCTGTGGTTTCCCCGCAACCGACTTTAACTGCAGACTCACAGAAAGCTGTTCCGCAAGCTCAGCTTTTCACCCAATAAAACTGGTTCTGAACAGTTTTGGGATTTCACACAGGGTCAGTGCTTTTTGGGATGCAGTTATGTCATTTTTTTTAGTGAGAAAGTGTGAATAAACTATACCACTCTGAGGCTGGAGGGCTTGGTTTTGTGTGACCAGGAGACTAAAAACACTGGGAAACTACTCACTCGGATCTGCGTGAAACCAACATCATCTGTTTACCAGGAGCCATAAAGCATCCTAATTAGATATGCTGGAGTCCATTTCTTCAGTGGAGGTTTGTGTGGTCGATTCTGTTGGCCAGACTGAGCAAACTACCCCAGCTGAAAGCAATACTTGGAAAACATTAAAGTGTCTTCCAGAGGAATTCACACCAGTGGGGATTTCTGACATTCTCACAAACTTAAATGGATTTTATTGGTTAATAGTACCAAACAGTGATGCAATGTTTTAGGATTAAAAATCTGACAAGAACAACAAGCAATTGTGTTTAACCTTAAATATATCTAATAGGTAAACAATCAACATGCGTAGGCTTATCTTAGTGCAAATACAGCTGCCTTGTAAAGGTCTTTAGAGAGTCTCTTGAGAACGTTGGTGAGCTAACCCTGCAGATCGCCCAAACAACGCCATTCCTAAGGTGAAGCAGGGAACTCTGAAAGAGTTAGTGGGGAGGTAGATTAATTTTACTGCAAAGGAAAATGAGATTGGAAATCTTTTTCAAAGCAGCAGAAGATTTGTGGCTGTGGTTAAGGGTGACTATCCAGTAGGGGAACAGCCCAAACATACAAGGGCTTCAATGGCATAGTTCATATCAAGGGTCTTCAATTCCAGTCCTCAAAGTGTGGTTTCCTACACCTTTAAGATGTGTCTCTGCTTCTACAAACCTGAATCAAATAGCTTATTACCTTCTCAGCATGTAGTCATGTTCTCCAAAGTCTTGCAAATGGCGTGGCATAATGGCAGAAACATATTTGAAGGGTGCTGGACACCGGACCCCAAAGACAGGAATTAAAGACTTATTACTTAGGTCATTGTATGTAATGTTTTAGACCGATTGAGAATCTGTGGTAAGATTGTTCAAAGACACTCAAAAGAATCACCAGATAGACAACAGATATGCATCTACAATTATTAAAATAACTGACCTTAAAGAACTGACAAAGGGAAGGGGAAGTGGCATGTGCAGGGGGGGCCTTGTGACCCAATTTTGGAAATAAAGGCACCTTCTACAGTGGTGAGGATGCGCTTTATTTGCCCCCTTTTTTCCTTTCTGCCCCTGCCCTACAATGTCTGTGCACGCCAATGGGAAGGAGATTATATACAAATGTTTATTTGTATATGTGAGACATTTTTCTTTCATTTCAAATCTTTAAGTTTTTAACATGATGAAATATGGAAAGGTTCTCATATACAGTTTCAGTCGCCATCCACCAAGGACAGATAACCGTCTTGCTGATACGGTCCCAGTCTTACAACACATAACATTTATAATGACACAGCTGAGACCCCAGTGAGAACATTTAAATTTGCACTTTGGCCAGACTTTTTAAAGTTTCTGGTAATTTTATGATGCAGAGACCCACCCTGTACGGACCAGTGACACGTTCTGCTCCCAGAACGTGTCACACAGGCTAAAACTGTGTACATGTGAAAACACTGGAACTAGTCAAGCTTTCAGAGAAGTGCCAAGCCTGCCTTGGACCCACACCCAGGAAGGTCAAAGCTCCCTCTCTCCTGAGGCATTTCCAACTCTCACGAACTTGGGCAAAGAACTGTAGACATGTCATTCAAACCTTTCATGCATAATGCATTTCTCCTTTGCTAAAAAACGTGGTCAAACCAAATTTTCATCACTGACACTTCTCAGTTTACGCCTGAGCAACGTCTGCCTCTCTTTTGCACTGCTAACGCTTTCCTTTGGAGCGCAGGAAACCACCAGTTGAGAATGAGATGTTATTCACATCAGCGTCACTGAGACTTCTATCAGATGTGACAGTGATCGTTTCATCATCTTACTCCAAAAGCTGCCCACACACATGCGCGCACACACACACGCGTCTTAGGGACTGTGTGTGATAACAGCTCAGGTCTTGTGTTGACGGGTAGATCGATCTACAAAGCCTGTGTGTGGAGACCTCAATCAGAGGTCATGCTATGCTAAATGACTTTACAAGACTCATTGTGCACCCTTGGGCTTGAATACAAACAGATTGAAATTTTATACTCCCCCTTTTAACATTCTGGGGCTCTCTGGCTAGAAAGCACTGATAAGCTCTGGCCTTGTGAGAAGAGTTTCTATAGATTCATCTTACTGTCAATGTGACTGTTTAAAACTGGACAGAAATGTAACAAAAATCCAAACAAACTATTATAATCATAATCTGGTCTGATGTATGGGAGCTGGTTAAAAAAGCTCCTACCGATAGCACTGCATTGATTGCAGTCTTTGTAACATTCACCACGATGGACTGGCGACCTGTCCAGGGTGTACCCGCCTCTCGCCCGTAGAGAGCTGGAGATATGCACCAGCACCCCTTGCAACCCCAGCAGGGATAAAGCGTGAAGGATAATGGATGGATGGAACATGCACCTATGCATCATCTCCTGCTTATAAAAGTACACTGCCAATCAGCTGGCTGATAGAAGGGACACTTTTTATAACTTTTAAAAGAATGACTAGGAATAGTTGTGATTAGAAAGCAACAGACTGACTAGGAAGCAAAAAGAGGACGACCTCTCACTCTTAGTAAGTTAAAGGGAATGCATCATGCAAATTCCTATTTTTTAGCTCTTAAAGGTTCTATGTCATGCTTTATTTAGTCTTGGTCAAATATTATCTTTGGCACCAAGGAGTATTAATTTTATATGAAATATTAAGACAAAGTCCAAGACCTCTCCCAGATTAAAAAACACACATTATCGTGACCCAAGACTATATCTATATTTTAAGAGCAGATTTTATGAGAAGAAGAACATCACTCAATGGAGAAAGTGGGCTTGTTTACTGTACAGGTGCACCACATTTAATAATTATGTAATTAATTATGTAATAATCCGACACTCATTTTTCTGGGACAGGGAGGGTGCTCAATGAACTCCATTTGATTTTAAAGAAACCACACAAAAATGCAGCCTTGACTGCACTCTATATTGCTTATAGTGGTGACAAAAGCAAGAGCTCCAGAGCACAGAGACGAACCAAAATAAATATTCAAGCAAAGAAGGAAGAACCTGTAGCTGGCACTATTTCCCCGATAAGGCCACTTAACTAAGCTGAGTCGACTCACTTTTGGAAGACTTGTAAGTTGAACCCCCTCTCCTTGTGGGAGGTGGGGACCTGCATGGCCGTGTGTGCATGTAAATCTGGCATCTTATAAGCTTAGTAGAGCATGCTGTGGTTAGCATTAATAGCTGGATTAGACCCCTCCGATAAAAACAAGACAGACTATATATATGTCAGTACTGGGCATTTACCATTAACCAATAATAATGATACAGTTTTAACCAATAGAAGTTGTATTTAGCAACCAATGGTGATTCCAACTAACATTAAGGCTCCTATTTTGGTCAAAGTCACCAATTTGTATTGGTTATAGATTTTAACCAATATAGATTGGTTAAAAAAAAACGTACATTGTTAGATTGTTTTTTTTGACCAAAAGATTGGTTGGACACATGACTACCAACCAGATTGTTCAAATTCAATCAATTTTGTCGCTGTATTGACCAATCTGTTTTTTTGGGTGTATTATAGTAACCAACCCAAGTATGTCTGATAGAAAGTGTTCAATACTCTATGATGGCTTCACTTTTCAACATGCATTGCAATTACACTGGCTGTAATATTTGAGACATGAAGTTCAAGGCGCCATGTTCATCTTCTGCTGGTAAATAAACCTTTATTTAAGTGTTTAAGATAATGTTAGCATAACAGTGAGTACTGACACTGATTCGAAGGTACTGGGCATCAATATTGTATCATTTCAAATATGAATGGTACACATTCCTACCCATGATGTGGCCTAAAGATACCTAGTGCACTGCAAAAACCATCTAAAAATGAGAACAAATGTCTTAAATTAAGTATATTAACCATTAATTTGAGTACGTAAATAAGATAATTGGCCAATGGAACGAGTATTTCTAGTCTTAAAATAGGATAATTAGAAAATATGTACCTGAAATAAGACAATGCAATTGTTTTC